TGATAAATGCCATGCACAGCAATTGGATTGGCACTAAATACACAAGATTAACAAATCTGTGCAGAGAAATTAGATCAGCAATTAGTTAGGATGCAGATTCTAGGAAAAGCAATGGACATCAATTTTCTTTGAGGAGATGGTATAGACTCTGTCCGAGTCCTCATCTTGGTTTAGGAAGTTCATATTTGTAATCTTATGGATAAGTTATTAGAATCCCATTGAGTCAACTCCAACCCACCATATCCAGTATAGTACACCATACCCAGTACAATCCATGGTGAGAATAGGGGCTCTCAGGCATATTTGCAGCTATGGAGATCCAAGGAGTCCTAAGTCCAGCCATGATGAAGAGATCTGGAACAAAGGCCTTGACCCTAGGCCAAATCCAGGTGTTATCATTCATGAAGAAGGGAGTGGCTTGAGGATGAGTGACTGTAAGACTGGCAAGAAGTTGGTGAGTGTCATAAGGTGGGATAGCTAGGAGGCCTGCATTCACCTCTGCCATATGCAGAGAGAAGTATATGCAGAAAGAGTAATCTGCATTACACAGCTGAGCTAAAGCCAACTGAAGGCATAAGGAAAAGTCCTAGCCAGGTGTGTACATGTCAGTGCATGTACAGAAATAGGGTCAGGCTCAGCCAAAATGGACACAGTGGTCCTCATTCAAGGAGAGTCATCCAGGTGGTCCTCCACAGTTCCCCCTTCTTTGCCTTGAAGAAGCTGGAGCAGAGTCAATGGTGGCAGTGTGGCTGCCGGGCTGAGAATCCTCTGGGATACACTTTAATGAGAAAGATTATAAACAAGAAAATGAATGAATCAATTCCAGTATAAAACCAAGTGAGCCTTGGAATATGCAAATAGATTCAGTTCTTCTACAGTATCAGCAAACTTATCCCAATCAAATGTGGCTGTCTGTTGTGACATTGACAGCACTTTTCTCTGAAGATCATCTATATCTGCAATATTTTGATGGATTGTTCCTTGTATATGTTATTTGATCATTTCTCAAAGATGTAGGTTTTTGTTATATAATATAGGGTGATACAAAAGCAAGTCACATTATAGTGACACTGTAATCTGTGTTGCAATTGTAAACTTTCAATTTGATTTATAAAAAGGATGGAGGTTTCCAGAATGTTTACTGGGGTTTTCAAGTTTATACTAATATTTTGCTGAATTTTTCTGTTGTCATCAGCAGTTCTTGTCCAGTTGTCTAAAAAGTGAGCAGTTAGTACTGAATATGCTATTACCATAAGCCAATAGCTGCACTGGCTGTCAAAAACACTCAGGAGGTTAACCCTGCTATAATTCAAGTATCCTCTTGGTCCAATTGATAAATGTTTTAATTAAGGTCTCTACCAAGAAGAACTAAGTGAATGATACCATGGTATCCTTATATTGACTGTAAGCTGAACTCCAGACATCCTGCTCATGATTGCTACTGTGGAGGCCTTAGAAGGATGTTCAGGCATTATACAAGGGGTCAGATAGCAATTAGTACATGAGAACATATTTTGTTGCCACTTTATCTTTCCTTTTAGTAGTACATGAGGATTATAAACACATTTACTTTTATATATCTAAGTTCTTGTAATACAACTTTGACTTTTCATTCAGCTACTGGCTGCAGGTGCCCAGCCTGCAGCCATCCAGCATGAAAGGGTAGGGATAGATTCTATAAAGCATGTTGTATGGGTCCACTTTTGTCATTGACAATGAGCCTGGAAATGGAGAACTGAGGCCTCTACCTGATATTGCAACACTGAACAAGGCCTCTGAGGTTGTGAGATAGTTGGAGTAGTCTGCAAAATAAATTTCATTCCAGTCTCAATCTTTTCCTAGAGGGAATCCTCTGGGGGACCAGTCTACAAAGGAATAATTAAATTTGCATAAAGCCCATCCATGTTATGGATCTCTGCAAGTCTGCCTACAAATCACTTTCCTCAAAATGAGGTGTGTGAGTTCCTGGAGAAGAGACAGAAATGTTAGATTTAATGTTTCTTATGATATTGCCTTCTAGGGGCTGGGGAGATGGCTCAGTAGAATAAGCACTTCACTGGCAAGCGCAAGGGCCTGAGTTCAATCCCTGGTTCCTCAAAAAAAAAAAAAAAAAGATATTGCCATCTGAGGGAATAGAATTTAAGGTTAATAAGGCAAATTGTCCTTTAGATAATTGTACTTACCATGTCTGATCCATAGCTGAAATACAAGGCTCAGAATCTTATTGTAGATGGGCTATGCACAAAGGTGAAAATACAAAATGAAATATAACATTAGTCTGTTCCTCTAAAATTAATGGACCAGGTAAAATAGTACATGTAGAATTATTGCTCTCTATAGAAAGGAAAATTTCAGAAGATCTGTCTACCCAAGTAAAGGGTCTATAAGTAGGGGTGGATTAGGTGTGTAAGCATAATACTCTTCTCCCTGAACCACAGGAATATGTACTGTAATTGTTGGGAGAGCAAATATAACAAGAATAAGACTTTTAGGTGATTGAATCAAACCCCAACAGTTAACTAGGTGGCAAGCCTCACCAATGATCTGCTGCAGACCTCCCCAGGAAGGTGGTTAATGTGCTGCCAGGTTCATTGTTTGAGGTCTTGGCAGAGAGCTTGCAATGTTATGCAGGTGGGTTGGATTCTGGCCATGGAACAGCTCTGATGGTCAAAATGTCTCTTGATTTTCTGTGGAAATATAAGCATAACCTCTGACAGACCATTCCAAACACCTGTTTGTAGGTGACACCCACTAGGATTCAGAAAAGTTAAAGCATATGTAGCAAAGTTTTCACTTTGTATTCCCCCTTTCTTTTGTTTGGCTGGTTGATCGTCTAGCTTAAAACAAATGTTTTTTATTATTTTTGTTTGTTTGTTTGTTTTTTGTTTTTGTTTTTGTTTTTGGCAGTACCAGGGATTGAACTCAGGCCCTTGCACTTGCCAGGCAAGCACTTATTCAACTGAGCTATCTCCCCATGATTCATTATTTTTTTAATTAATTAATTTATTTATTTGTGTGTGTCTATGTATGTGTGGCCAGCTCAGCCCACCAGGGGACAGGGCTGGTTGGCATGTGGTGCCAGGGGATTGAACCGCGGTCCCTCTGCTTTGTTAAGCTTGTTCTAAGTAGGTGCTTTAGACCACTGAGCCATCTCACCACCCCCCATGATTCATTATTGTTTTGATATAGGGGAAATATGATCTCAGTGGATGATCTCCAAATTATATAAGGGAAAAAAATGAAACTCCCAACCTGAAAGGTACTTAGGATGAGTTCATGTTCTCTAAAACTGAAGAATGAATTTTAGGAATAAACAGAGGTTAAGAGTAGGATATGTTTATTGGGGTAAAGAAAGCTCCTGTCCAAGAGAGGGACAGGAGGGGGGGCCCCCAAGGAGGTTATCCCCAGGATGCTGTCTCTTACAGTGACTCTTATAGAGTAAAATCATGCAGTGAGGTGGGTCTAAGATGGTGGAGAACGTGAGAACTCGTCTAGGTGGGTATGAGGTAGGACAAAACTATGGTCAACCAAGGACATTACTAGCACCATTGCTCAGGTAAAATTGATTAAATACTGTACTAATGAGGAAGTGAGTCATGTAGCAAGTGGACATGGATATGGGACAGGGTCTCTTCCTATTAGGGATTGGGTTAGTGACCTCTTTGGGCTCTTTCAAAGTGATTGACACCGGCCAGGGAGATGGCTCAGTAGAATAAACACTTGCCTGGCAAGCACAAGGGCCTGAGTTCAATCCTTGGTTCCACCAAAA